AACTGTCATTATTTGCAGATGACATGATATTATACATAGAAAATCCTAAAGACTCTATCAAAAATCTACTAGACTTAATAAATGAATTTGGCAAAGTAGCAGGATACAAAATTAACGTCAAGAAATCAACGGCATTCTTGTACACCAATGATGAACTCACAGAAAGAGAAACTGAAAAAACAATCCCATTTACCATTGCGCCAAAGAAATTAAGATACCTAGGAATAAACTTAACCAAAGCAATAAAGGACCTATTCGCAGAAAACTACTGGTCATTGAAAAAAGAAATAGAGCCCTGGCCGGTTTGGCTCAGCGGTTGGAGCGTCGGCCTGCGGTCCACAGAGACCCGGGTTCGGTTCCCGCTAAGGGCATGTGCCTCGGTTGCAGTTTGTCCCCGGCCCTGGTTGGTCGTGCAGGTGGCAGCCACTCGATGTGTCCCTTCACATCGATGTTTCTCTCTCTCTCTCTCTTCCTCTCTCTCCCTCCCACTCTATCTGAACAAAAAATGGAAAAATGTCCTCAGGTGAGGAAAAAAAAGAAATAGAAGAAGATATAAAAAAGTGGAAGCACATACCCTGTTCATGGATTGGAAGAATTAACATCATTAAAATGTCCATACTACCCAAAGCAATCTATAGATTCAATGCAATCCCCATCAAAATACCAACGACATATTTCACAGAACTAGAGCAAATATGTCAAAAGTTCATAGGGAACCAAAAAAGCCCCCGAATAGCCACAGCAACCTTGAAAAAGATGAACAAAGCAGGTGGGATCACAATACCAGATATAAGGTTATATTACAAAGCAACTGTAATCAAAACAGCCTGGTACTGGCACAAGAACAGGCATATAGACCAGTGGAACAAAACTGAAAACCCAGAAAGGGACCCAAGGCAATATGATCAATTAATATTTGACAAAGGTGGCAAGAGCATACAGTGGAGTAAAGACAGCCTCTTTAATAAATGGTGTTGGGAAAATTGGACAGCTACATGCAGAACAATGAAACTAGACCATCAACTTACACCCTACACAAGAATAAACTCAAAATGTATAAAAGACTTTAATGTGACTCATGAATTCATAAAAATCCTAGAAGAAATTGTAGGCAACAAAATTTCAGACATCATACGCAGCAGAATTTTCACTGATACATCACCTAAGGCAATAGAAACAATGGAGAAAATGAACACATGGGACTACATCAAACTCAAAAGCTTCTGCACAGCGAAAGATACAATCATCAAAATGGAAAGGCTACCCACTGTATGGCAGAGCATAATTGCCAATGATATATCAGATAAGGGGTTAATTTCCAATATATATAGAGTGGTCATACAACTCAACAAAAGGAAGACAAAGAACCCAATTAAAAAATGGGCAGAGGAACTAAATACACACCTCTCCAAACAGTACATACAAATGGCTAAGAGACATATGAAGAAATGCTCAACATCACTAAGCATCAGAGAGATGCAAATTAAAACAACAATGAGATATCACCTCACACCTGTCAGAATGGCCACCATGAACAAATCATCAAACAACAAGTGTTGGCAAGGGTGTGGAGAAAAGGGGACTCCAGTACACTGCTGGTGGGAATGCAGACTGATGCAACCACTATTAAAAACAATATGGTGTTACCTCAAAAAATTAAACATTGAACTTCAATTTGACCCAGTGATCCCACTTCTAGGAATATACCTTAAGAAGCCTGAAACACCAATCAGAAAGAATATATGTACCCCCATGTTTGTAGCAGTACTATTTATAATAGCTAAGATCTGGAAACAGCCCAAGTATCCATCAGTAGACGAATGGATAAACAAGCTGTGGTACATATACACAATGGAGTACTACGCAGCTGTAAGAAAGAAAGATCTCTTATCCTTTGAGACTACATGGAGGGACCTGGAAAGTATCCTCCTCAGTGAAAGAAGCCAAACGGAGAAAGACAATTATCATATGATCTCACTTATTTGTGGAATATAATGAACATAATAGTCTGAGGAATGGGGTAGTCCCAGAGTTTGGGAGTGGGGTACAGACTGACAATCCCCAGAAGAGGGGGTGGTGGGGGAGAGATAAACCACAGAACTTATATGCATGTATGCAGGAACAATGGACGTGGACAACAAAGCTGGGGACGGGAGGGTGGAATCAGTGGCAGAAAAACATCTGTAACAAATATTAATTAACAAAAAAACAACAAAAAAAACCCTGAAAAATAAAAAGCAAAACAAAACAAAAAACTCCACCCTTAAAAGCCTTAGGACAAAGGCCCAGAGCACTCTCCTTCAAGAGAGCATGCTAGTGCCTTTCACCTCCCCCTCTACATACCCCCAGGTGCACCACTTTTACCTTCCTCACTTCTAAGCAGCAAGGGCCCTTCCATTGTCTTTATATCTTGTTTCTTAAGCCCATTTCTTCTATGAATTACCTCTTCTACCTCCTTGATTTTCTAAATAAATGTTCTCTTATAGTTTGAGTCTTGGCTCTGAACTCTCCTGGCCAGAACTCAAGAATTGAGGTTGCTGAACCGAAGTCCAGTCTGACTCCACTGGTATAACACCTGGTGCTATTCCCGCCACCATCGACACAATTTTCCAATTGTCTTTTCAACTTCACTTCATGAAGTGTGGCACAATCTTCATGACAATTCAATTTATGTCTTTTTTTTTTTTTTTAATCCTCACTCGAGGACATTTTTCCCTATTTTGTTCAGATGGAGTGGGAAGGAGAGAGAGAGAGAAACATCAACGTGAAAGGGACACAGCTAGTGGCTGCCACCCGCAGGACCCAACCAGGGCCGGGGACAAACTGCAATCGAGGTACGCGTCCTTAGCGGGAACCGAACCCGGGTCTCTCTGGACCGCAGGCCGACGCTCTAACCGCTGAGCCAAACCGGCCAGGGCCAATTTATGTCTTTTTTAAATTCACTTCTTGAAGTGGTGTATTTACCCAAAGTAGGTGGTAGTTTTCTGATATTAGATCATTGATAAATACAGTGCCCTCCTTTCACCTAAAAGATATGAGTTCAGGTCTCCCATATGCAATTGGGTGTAAGCCAACAGCCCAACCCTACCCTTTCAAATTTGATTTCTGGCTTCCCCTTTTATCCAGGGAATCACTGTCAAAATATTTAGAATCCCCTTAACACAGTTTAATACTAACCATATCTGAACCCTTCCCAGCATGTGGTACTGTCAGCTTTTCACCCATGTGAGCCCTTCTCTTCCATGCTCTCTCTGATGCCTTACTCTTGGTTCTCCTCTCTTCTGATGATTCCTTCTCCAGCACTTTTCCTGTCCCTCAAATGTGTTCCCCAAGGGTCAGACTTTGGCCCTTTTTCTCACTCTACTGTGGATGAAAAGGGACCACATACTAAACCTTTTAAGCTCAGAAGAGGGCTGACTGGTGGCCTTGCAAACTTAGAGACCTAAAATAACCACAAAGAATAGTCTAAAATTAAAATTTATTAACTAAAAGCAGTTTATGGCAGATAGTGTATCCTAGGCTAGAATCTTCCATGACCAAAGCCAGTCTTTACCTTAATTGAGCCTGTCTATTGTCTCTTTGCATCTAAATAATATACCTTTGGAATGTCAAGGTAAGCCCCTTTTTCCAGACCCCTCTGGGCACAATCCCCTCATTGTTATTAACTGTTATATGTTAACTATCCTGTACCCACCTATGTAAAAGAAGTATGTCTATCATCTTACGTTTTATCCAATCCCAGAAGTCCCCCTTTCCTTTCTCCTGTCTCCCTAATTTGTCACCAATGAATTTCATGTAACCCACTTACACCCGCTCTTTTGACTGTAATGTATAAAATAAGGTGCAAAACTGCCATTTCCCAGAGCATTTTCCCAATCTGTTGAGATTTTTCTTTCTGGCAATTGGCTCAAATAAATTCACAAAAATTCTCTCCAGATTTGTATGTTTCTTACATTAACACTAGACATTCACAATAGGAACTGTCTGTGAATTCTTAAAACTGCAAAAAACATTTGCGGTAAATCCATTAATGGATGTTCACTAGCTCTCAGTAAAATCAATCCACAGGGACAAACAATAGAAAGAAGCAGGCAAAACTCCAGCTTCCATATCTGTCCATAAACTTCATTTTTTGTTGTGTTCTTCTCATAAAGAGCACAGGCCTTAATAAAAGATACGCACCAGCCCTGGCCAGTTTGGCTCAGCGGTGTCGGCCCTCAGACCCAAGAGTCACGGGTTCATTTCCAGTCAAGGGCATGTACTTTGGTTGCGGTTGGGTCCCCAGCCCTGGTCCAGGTCCTGCTGGAGGCAACCAATTGATGTGTCTCTCTCAGATCAGTGTTTCTCTCTCTCTCCCTTTCACTCTATCTAAAAATGGAAAAATATCCTGGGATAAGGATTTAAAAATAAAAAAGATAAGCATCCCTGAGCTTGTTTTCTAAGACATTCTCTTCATTTATTCGAAGCCATTTTTAACCTGGAAGTTCCCAACAGGCTGGACGAGTATCCTTGGTTCATTGAAGTGGCCCCAGATCCAGCCCTGGCACAGGGCAGGATGGGAGCTTCTCTGTGGTGTGTTGGCCCCATCTGGGGTTGAGGTCCTGGGGCAGGCTGAGGGCCAGCAGCCAAAGTAGGACCGCGTGGCCCACCTGGATAGGAGAGCAGGAAACCCGGCCAGGCTGCCACTGCAAGAAGCGCCGAACTCAGGATAGCCCCCCACCAGCAGGAGCAAACACAAGCCACAGGCTTAGGGCACAGGACAGACTTTTCTTCCCAGTTTCACCTTAGTTCTCCCCAAACGAAAACATACGTAGGATTGCCTGGGTCCCACCAGGTCTCTGGGGAGGAACAACCCGGTCGCGCAGCCGCAGAGTGGAGCGCTGAGGCCTCCCGCTCCCAAACGTCACAGGTACCCCCGCCTCTTCCAGGGTGGGGCGGGGCGCGAGAGGCTTTGTTACGCAAGCGCGTTTGCGCGGCGAAGGTGGAGCTAAAGTCCAGCCGGGGGATTTAGGGAGACGGTGCTGCCGCCATTTTGTGGGGTTTTTGTTGCAGGGTCTTGAGGCAGAAGGCGGCAGTTTGGCTTCATTTCTCGGCCAGAGAGCTTTTTGCTTTTACAGAGGTAAGGTTTCGGGTGGGGTGTGCGGGGCTGGGCGGCTTTCCATTCTTTTTAGGTCTCGAAGTCGGGTCTTCGAAACGACCTCGTTGGGGCGTCGGCGACTGGGCTTCCTTCGGGACACGGCTCCGCTGGTTGGGTTTAAAATCTAAGGGTGCGCAGATGTTCATGGTCGAGTCAAAGTCTTGGGACGGGGAGACCGCGGTTCTGCCGCCGAGTGTTCCCTGAGGGCCCAGCAGCCCGCATCGCGGCTCCGGAGGCTCCGGCTCCCCCCGCCCCGCCCCGCCCGCGAGAGAGATCCTTGGGAAGCAGCCTTTCGGGTTTGTGTTGTCCAAGACCAAGTCCTTCCTTGGATGCCTGGCCTCGGCCGATGGTAGCATTTGTGGTGGAGAGGGATTCCTGGCTCAGACATGAGTTCCTATCTTGGTTGTGTGCCCAAGGCCCTGGCCAGGTGCGCTGGCGTGGGACTGGGCGTCCGAGGAACTGCGAGTCGCTGTACCGGTACAGGCTCGTGGTCGGAAGAGGTCGAGACAGACGGAGAGGTTTGTGTGCCTCGCGCGGCACTGTGTTCTCCCTGAGTGGAAGCACGCCGTTGTGCCTCAGATCTTTATTTCTGACACTGCATTGTATTTTCTCCTTGATTAGCCTTGATATGCTTATCTGTTTTTTAGGAAATAGCCCTCCAAATCGACTGAGCCAGCCGTCTGTCTTGAAAACTGCCCTCCTATTTTGTGTTTCATACACGCACACCGACAGGGTTCTTTCTTGTTGAGTTCAGTCCTCCTGGAGCCATCTAATCATAGCTTTAATCTTTTTAGATAGTTTAAATCCATATACAGAACATAAGATTATTGGGTATCGTAGGGTATTAAAGGTCAGTAAAGAATCAGATTTCTAATACAGATATAATATACATATGGGTCCTTTGTGTTTGATGGGTTATTTTTTTAAGGTATCTTGTGATTTTAGCACTTAGGATTCTTTATTGATTAGAGGTAGTTTGATAATTCCAGGTAGTTTTTCTTTTTTGTATACTCAAAGGAACCTTACCCATAGAATGTGAGTCCAGGATTCTTCTCTTCAGCTCCTGAGAAAATATTTCGGGGGGCAGGGGGTACTTCCTAACAACTGAATTAAATTTAAAGTATTGAACTTGATTAGAGAAATGAAAATCTTTGGCTCTCCTAAGATGTTTATTTGAATGTTAATATTTGCATATTGATAACTGGTTATTTGAAAAGCCTACCTTATTAGAGGTGAGCTGGTTGTGGCAGACTAATTGAAGAAAAAAATTGAAGCAGACATAAGTTTTGCAACAACTGCATAATAGTACACGGACGGTCACAATAATAACTCTCAGTCATCAGATTTTGTAATTTGCTTGATGTTATTTAAGAGGCTTAACCAAGTTGTTTTAAAGTTTCTAATGTGGTTAAAATACAATTTTAGTAATTGAATGGTTAAAATATTTAGAGACAGGAACTTGTGATAAAGAAGCTTCTTGATGGCTCTATACTTTTTAGCAGAGTCATCTATATTTAGTGTCCCTATGTGTTTATCTGACTTCAGCTATCTGTATTGCAGTATTTTGCGAAAGCTGCATTACACTAGTAATAGTAGTTCCCTTGTGATTAGTTCACATTTTAAAGTTGGCCTGTTTAAAAGAAGTTATATCAATAACTTAATTAGCAGGTCAGTAATTACCATAAAAAGAAGATAATGAGCCCTGGCCGGTTTGGCTCAGTGGTTGGAGCGTCGGCCTGCTGTCTAGAGACCTGGGTTTGGTTCCCACTAAGGGTATGTACCTCCGTTGCAGTTTGTCCCCGGCCCTGGTTGGGTCGTGCGGGTGTCAGCCACTCGATGTGTCCCTTTCACGTCGATGTTTCTCTCTCTCTCTCCATCTCTCTCCCTCTCACTCTATCTGAACAAAAAATGGAAAAAAATGTCCTTGGGTGAGGATAAAAAAAAAAAAGTAATCATACAAGTAAATTAAAACCAAAAAAAGTTATTAATTTCTGGCTAGATATTATTGAAGGCTCTAAGACTGAACCTTGGCTCTTTATATTTCGTAAATGCTATTTAGCAAGTATTAGTTGATGACAGTCACCAAGCTGAGACTTTTTATCTGGAAGAATTGAAAGAAAAAATATTCGTCTCACAGAGTAATTCATTGTTTAGTCCTAGATTTGTATGCATGCCACTTAAAATCATCTGACATGTCAGAGGAATAATGCCCCATGCCTTAGGAAACTGCCTACAAAAGATTTTAGAACCTGTATGACCCCGTGTTCTGGGTGTTTATATTTAAATATTAGTATGTACTATTTTATTTGCTAAACATAACCATCTATAACCCCCACAAATCATTTTTTGTTTTCATTAATAGATGCGGCATTCCAAAAGAACTCACTGCCCTCATTGGGATGGTAGAGAAAGCTGGGACCGTGAAAGCTACAGTGAAAGCCACAAACGGAAGAGGAGATCCCACAGTAGTACACGAGAGAACAGGCATTGTAAACCACATCACCAATTTAAAGAATCTGATTGGTAAATTGAACTAGCAGCATTTTAACACTAACAGTTTTAGTGAATTATTATTAAATTATGTAGTTTTTATCTTTCAAATTATTTTATAATTCAGTCAATAAATATTCAGAAATTATTGAATGCCTATTATAGGCTAGACACGATATAAATGCTGAGGCTACAGCTCTAAGTAAAACAGAATTCCTATCCTTATATCTTTGTATAACTCTCTGGGAATGGTGAGAACAGTTAAGTCCAGGCTGCCAATAACATATGGAGGTAAGACAAAAAGTTAATAACGGTGATAGAACCTTAAACTTGTTTATAGGAGGGAGATATGTAGGTTAGGGTGCTCCTTTAGTGTTCCATGAGTGAAAGATATTGAGGGGCAGGGAGAATATAACCCCTCAAGAAAAAAAACAGCATGTACTATTTGGATATGTTAAAGTGCCCTGGGGATTTGTCACTTAGACTATGTTCTACAGATTGTTTTTTTAGATAAGGCCAGTGGATGTGTTTGAGATTTTTAGAAATGTGGGTATTTTAAAATCCATTTCTTTGTATAGGTAGTAGCCAGTAATTTAGGAAAGGGCCTCAATAAAAGTTTCCAATAGTGTGTTTTGTTGTATTGTATTTTTACTGGTGTAAAATGTGGCGGTGATATATTCATATAGAATTAAAGGAATTTTAAAGTTCCTATATGTTTAAAGAAAGACTAGGTGAGTAGAGTTTCTATCATCCTGTCTTCCATTAATTTTCTTTTCTCACTTGTTTTGTTGGTTCTATGTTTTCTCCTTGTTTTGTGCAGATGTTCCATTGGGACTGTTTACAAGATTGCTTTCTAAATTAGCCAACTGGGGTTACTTTAAAAAACAGTATGTAATCTTTTTCCTTCTCTGTCCTAAAACAGACTTGTTCTGTAGAACAGCGAGCTTCTTGGCAGTCAGTGCAGATTGATCATTCTTTATCACACACTATTACACTGTTATTTGGGAGCAAGAGGGTGGGTTTATGATGGGATTTCAATGACCTGTGCTAATTAAAAACATCTGTACCCTGTTATTAATGAAATACAAAATACTCTGTGAGGCTTAACATCGTAATAAAATTACAGTAATTGGGTTCACTCTGCATTGTATATGTAGAAGGGAAGTGATTTCAGTGATAAACAGTTCATTCATGTTTATAATGAACTGCATAAACATGATACTAAGTCCAGTTAACTACCAGGCCAATAGCTTCTTTGACGTTGGCACCAGAGATGTCTGGTGGTAATTGCTGTCCATAATCTGGAATATTCTAATGGTCTTTTTGAAGATTAAAAACTTCAAAAGAGTTGTTTCTATAAAATCTTTTTAAAATGCAGAAAAGTATAAAGAAGGTAACTTTGGTAGGATGTTAGTCTCTCATTGTTTGGATATAAATTGTTGCTAATTACTTGTTCTTAAATACCTATATACAAATCTTTGTCTCTGATTTTTTTCTGAAAATAGATACTAAGAAGGGGACATTTTCACTTTAAAGGGTATAAACTCTTACTTCATATTAACATCTTTTTCTAGAAGGATTGCACCAACTTATACTCCTACAACATGCTCCTTTCCCTCACCACACTTGGCTATTTTGAAATGCCAAAAGTGGAGTTCTGTTTGAATGTTTTCATTTCTAGTGAATTTATCCACTATCATATTTATTGACCATTTGAACATTATTTTTTTGTTCTTAGCCTACTTTTTCTATTAAAGTGTATTTTTATTATTGATTTATGAACACTTGTTGTGTATCAATTTTACCTTTTTTATAAATTGCAAAGGGTCTTTTCTTTTTAATTTGTCCTTTGATGGTAGCCTGTGAATTGATATCCCTTCCTACAGGTTTTAATCTATTATGCACAGTGTATTAGGAAGACTGATGTTGCTATAAACACCACCTTTATATATTGTGGTAAAAATCCTTGAATGTCTTCCTAACATAGAGTATCAATGATTCTCAAACTTTAGTGTGAATAAAATCACCTTGGAGGTATGTCTAAAATGCATGTTACAAGATTTAGACTGCGTCTGACCTGGGGCCCAATGATTTTCATTTTTAAGAATTCCGTATTTTGATATTGCTGATAAACCGATCACCCTTTGAGAAACACTATTTTAAAAGTCCTTAGTTGGCATGCAAGATATTAGATGGTCTGTTTCCAGTTTGTTTATTTGCCTCCGTTTCCCTATGAAAATTGCTCTTACTAGAATTGTCTACTTACTGTTTCCTGAGTAATGCTAAGACAAACCCATCTCTAAGCCATGGTGGCTAAAAGTGTTCTATGAATGTAAAATGGTAATATGCCATTCTTTTCCCTTGACATTTCTACTTTCCACTTTGTCCAAACCCTGGCTTTCCTTTAAGATGTAACTTCTTTCTCATGAAGTCTTCCCTGACCATTTTCAGAAGTTGGGGTGCTTTCCCTTCTATGATCCTCAGCACTCTCATGCAGCCTTTCAGCATTTCCTGCATTGTTGAGCTTTATTTTATGTGAGTAATCTCAAGTTGTTCATTATTTGTTGGCAGGGCTTTTGCCATATATGTGTATATTATACAAGACCTGTGTGCAAATAAAACTGAATGTTCATAGCCTCATTAGTCTTGACTATTTTGAAGGACTACAGTGAAAAATTCACTGGACATTTAGTGAATATTTTTAGAAATTAAATCTTTTCATCCTGTTCACTCTGTCCATAGCCTTTATAATTATATGTACTTTGTTTATATAATCTCTAAACCTTGGTTGTTACAGATTGAAGAGGTCCTCATTTAAATATATCCTCATGGTATTACTTCACCTCATGTTTGTTTTTCTGTACATTGTTTATGGAAAATAATGCAGCTCTAATTTCATGCATTATTCCAATTAAAGATTATTAGTGTTTTTTTTTTCTGGTAGAAAGATTTTGGACTTTTATGGGAAGGGTACCTTTAAGAGTATGGTAAATTCTAGTTTGGTCTCTCTCTGACAGGTTCAAGCCAATCAGATCCCTGACCTAGACCTGCAGTCTTACTCTAATGCCCTGAGTTGTTTCTCCAATTGATAGAACTTAAGACTGACACTGGGGAAAGGGGAAAAGGGGGTTCTGCATCTCCACAGCCTGTATTTGATGCCAGTTCTGTTGAATAGCAGTTTTAGAGATGCTTCTCTTTATTTCTGCCTAACCCAGCCCCCTGAGAAAAGAATGACAGCGTATTCTGTGGGAAAGAGAGGGGTTGGTGAGGGCGATCTAGTCAACATCTGTCACTCCATTGCTTGTCAGGATTATTTTAGCTGATTTGTCTGACTGGGCAGGTGTCCCCTCTCTCCCTCAGTGCTCCATGTGCATCCCTCTTGAAGCTTCGCACTCTGTTGAAGAGGACACTCAACCCAGGTAGAGAGGGGGGCCGGGAAACTGGGCCAATTGAATCTATGTCCTTTTCTATCCATCTTATCAAGACTACTTAACTGGGATACATTGACTTCCTGAGGTCCATGATCTCTTAAATTCCTTACCAAGTTTTGTTTATGCATTGCTGCATTTCTTGGTGAAATAGGGCCCATATCTTTCATCAGATTTTCAAAGGGATCTGTAGATTCAGAAGTTAACCACTGTGGCACTAAATAATGCTGTTTTCTATGTAGAATTCTTGTGTATTTTGTAACAAGCAGGCATAACAGGATATTAGAAATGCAAAAGGAGTAGGGTGGTGGGTCTCTTGTAATCCTAAGCAAGCAATTACAAGATTCCAATCTCATTTGAGGGGGGTATACTTTAGTTGTCTTTGGCTTATGAAGCAACCTTCAAAGGCTATTTTTGTCTATTTTTTCAAAGGAATAACAGGAAGCTAGAAATACAAAGAGGAGAGGACATGGAATAGGTGATGTGTTTAATACAATTGGTCTATGTAATCAGTTAGAACATGCTCTACAACCCTTGCAAGTCATTTTCCTTCTAGGGATCTTAATCGTTTGTAAAATGAAAGGGCTGCAATATATTTAAGATTCCTTCTAGATCTAATACACCACCTTTTATGAAAGAATTCTCTCTGTGTGCCAGAGAGATTTAAAAAATCATATTCAAAGAGAAAGGAATCCTGTTTTGCCTGCCTCTAATTGTGTTTGGCTCTGTGATGAAAAAAAGCTTAGTTGCAGATGGCATGTCATAAAACTGATGCACTTTTGTGAATTTTTGGTTTTAACTTTCTCCAGAAGGCAAGGGGACACTTATCCAGTAAACATTAAACATAATAGATTGATTTGGCTCAAGCTCTGTCCTTGATGTGAGGTGCCTAACAGCAGTCTGTATGATAAATATGAACCCATTTGCTTATTGGTTAAAGTAAACTTACTAAGTTTTCTGATAAATATAAATTGTAATTCATCAATTTGAATTATTTTCTTTTATTGAGATAGCTGTTTAAACCAGGAATTCTTGAGAAAATGTTTTGTTTGAACCACATTACTCTAGAATGAAAAGAATAACGAAATCGTTTAATGTATTTGCAGTCATTATTTAGAAGCAAGGTCCTTGAATGAGAGAGATTATCGGGACAGGAGATACGTTGATGAATATAGAAATGACTACTGCGAAAGATACGTTCCTAGGCATTATCACAGAGATGTTGAAAGCAATTACCGAAACCACTGCAGTAAATCTTCAGTCCAAAGCAGGAGAAGCAGTCCTAAAAGGAAGCATAATAGACACTGTTCAAGTCATCAGTCACATTCGGTATGAGTGATTTTGTTTTTATTTGGGGTGGATACTTATTTGTGTGTAAAGCTCTTAATGGGCCAGTCAAGTTTGGGAAATTTATATAATACTGGTTTATATTGTGTTTATATCTCTTGAATCCTTAAAAGAAATTTCCAAATTCTCATAGCTAATCTGTATTTATTAGCTAGTCCTCATTTGTCCATATTTACTCATTTCCCATAGACTACATCATGGGTTTTTTGATTTTAATATTAAAAATATTCTGTTTTTATGTTTTATAATACCGTATGAAATAATGAACCCCCATCTTTCATTTTGAACATATTTTTACTCTAAAAGAGACCCTTTTTCTGATACTTGGAAGCAAATAGAGAAAGTTGCACAGGTGGATACTTAAATACCCTGTGTCTAGTGTAGTCCCATAGCACACTGCATTATTGTCTGCAATTAGTTCCATTGAAGTTCTGAAGATGGGTGCTGAGTGGGAAATATATTTTTAAAAACCTAACCTGCCCCCCTTTTTTTAAACTCAGACCTGTTTGATCAGTAAACTTTGAAATGCTATTTTCCTCCCCAAGTTTTCTTCAGTAAAACTAGCTTTGATTAAATTGAGCATTGAAATTAACCAGCCATTATTTTTCCCTTTTATTTTAATCATGTGTATTTTAATATATTGCTAAATAAACAGTTTCAACTTATCTTGGACATTTTTTTTTGACAAACTAGACATCTCAACTCAGCATATGCTATTTTACAGCAAGAGATTAATAGAACATGACAGTACATTCTTTAATTTCAGACTTCAATTAAATCAGTATTTTAAACAGACAATTGTGTTGTTTTTTTTTCTATTGTCACTTTAAGTATCTTATCTGAAAATCTGTTCCTTGCCATGTTTTTCTTCTGTAACATAAACTGTGCCCTGTGAATTTCTGGGGACTGAATTTGAAATTGCTCCTGCCAACTGTTCGTGGCCTGGTGCTTATCTGAATGCCTGAATATCTCCCCGCTGAATGAATTGCGTATTCTGCCCTGAATTCACTCTGATATATTGATTGGCTGGACGATCTTGGTGCTGCCCACTTGCCGTTCCAGAAGAGCCACCGAAGGAAAAGATCCAGGAGTATAGAGGATGATGAGGAGGGTCACCTGATCTGTCAAAGTGGAGACGTTCTAAGAGCAAGATGTATAGAATATTTTTCAACACTTTTTAAACTTTGCAGACAGAATAATCTTTTTAAGAATAGTTTGTCAGCGGGGGGCTAAGGAACTCTTCGTGGCTTTTTTTTGTTTTGTTTTTTTTGTGGGTTTTGTTTTTTTGTATTTCTTCTTTTCTGTAGAATTTAAATATTTCTACTCTAAAGTTCCAACATAATCAGTGGAATTTGAGATTAGATCAAGAAAGATATAGCTCTATCTAATTGTCTTTGTAGCAGCTGAAAAGAATAATTTGAGTGCTGAAACCTTAGTTATGCTTTGATAAAGAATCTTTTGGAAATATTCCACGCTTAAGCATTCATTATTTGAGTAACTAGATAATTAGTGTTCAGGTGCTTACACCTTTTTCTCCCCTCTCACTTTAGATGAAATCGTGGACACTTTGGGTGAAGGGGCCTTTGGCAAAGTTGTAGAATGCATTGATCATGGCATGTAAGTTTTTTTTTCTCTCTTGAACATTCTGATACTTTTAGTGAGGAAGGATCCATAATGATGAAGTGATATTTTAAGTGGTAGTCATGTTTTTTTCAGAGGTATAAATATTCAAAATTTCTTGAACTGTGTGCATGATTTACTTATTGTGAATATGGATTTTCATACAAAAGCTTACACATTCTATCAGATGGAGTTTATTGAAATTTTTTTCAGTCTTCACCAGAGGATATTTTTCCATTCATCTTCAGATAGAGTGGGAGGGAGGGGGAGAGAAACACATCAATTGGATGTCTCCCGGATGACCCTGACTAGTGCCAGCGACTAAACCACAACCGAAGTACGTGCTGTTGCAAACCTGAGGCTCTTTGGTGTGCAGGCCCACACTCAAACCGCTGAGCCAAACCAGCCAGTGCAAGTTTATTGAAATTAAAGTAGGTGTTCAGTTGAAGAGAGTCCTAGAACTTAGGCACTTAGCCTTGTGTAAGAAATTCAGAGCGCTTTGCTTTACTTTTGAATTACAGAGATAATAAAGCATGTCTAATCTTGCTTCAAAAACCTTTATTCCCAAAGGATAATATTTTCATGTTAGAGTTAACTTCTTAAACTATAAAGGAACTATATTGCTTAAACCCTACAGAATGTGATGTGACCCTCTCTGCCTCATTTTAACATTTTCCTTCCAAGACCTCTGTGGTTGCAAACATTTTTGTAAGTGGACCTTTTAAGACAATTTAGTGAAACTGCATGTTTATAAATTGACTCCTAAAATTTTTCATTATAAAATAGTTGGGGAGGGTATAATTTGCAGCCCACTGTAAGCTGTAATATTTAAAAACAACAATTTTAAAAAACACCTTTAGATGTCTTTGAGGGAATCTAAATGCTATAACAACTTGATAACTACCACCATCCATGAACACACTCTTTAGTACCTGGAAATGTTTTATCCTTAACCTATTTTCCTTCCGTTTTACACACAGAACATTATTCTAATTCTTTTATTAATTGTGATTCTCTGCAACAAAAATCTGAACATAAATTGAAATTTTAAAATATTTGGAAATATTTTCAGACTTATAGGAAAGTTGATTAAATAATTCAAAGCATTTTCACATATGCTTCACCCATAGTCTACAAATGTTATTTTACAGTATTTCCTTTCTTATTTATATATATTGGGTATATTTTCAAATTTTGCCTTCTGATCTACAGACCTTACTCAGATTTTACCAATTTTTCTATTAATGTCCTTTTAAAATTTGAGATTCCAAGATGTATTTAATCAATATAATCCAGTGAGCAGTGTTTAATCAATCAGGTCCAAATCAAGTACAAATTTTGACTTAAGACCTAAAACATAAAATTTAATTGCAGATGTGCCTGGCCGGTGTGGCTCAGTGGAGTAAATGTCTTCCCATGGACTGAGAGGTCCAGTTTGATTCCTGGTCAGGGCACATGCCAGGGTTGCGGGCTCGATCCCCAGTGGGGGGAATGCAGGAGACAGCCCATTAATGTTTCTGTCTCTCCCTTCCTCTCTCTAAAAGAAACCAATAAAACCATATTTAAAAAATTTAATTGTATTGGGGTGGTTAGGGCTTTTAAAAAATGAGTGTATGTATCTATAGAGAAATGTCTTAGTGTTTTAGCATAAAGTGTTTTCATTTTCTGTTGTTATAGCTATGAGCACTGAGAAAACTTGGTCATGTAATTAAATAGATGTTGACTGGAAGGAGTTTTGTCACAGCTATTTTATAAGTTCTTTTAAGTTGAGATATATACCAAACAAAGATACTATCAATATAATTTTTAATTACTTATCAGCCCACAACTTCATCGGGGCTTTGTTGAAAGCAATGAATTGGAAACCACTGGACTTGGGAAAAGGTTTTTGTACCTAGCCACTAGAAATGTTTGCCTCAAAGGTTTTGTTTTGTTTTGTTTTTGCTTTTTTCTTTTGTTTTTGTTTTTTTTTTTTTTTTTATCCTCACCCGAGGACATTTTTGCATTTTTTGTTCAGATAGAGCAGGGGGGAGAGAGAGAAAGAAACATTGACGTGAAAGGTACACATCGAGTGGCTGCCACCTGCACAACCCAACCAGGGCCAGGGACAAACTGCAACTGAGGTACATGCCCTTAGTGGGAACTGAACCCAGGTCTCTCTGGACCACAAGCCGATGCTCCAACCACTAAGCCAAACCGGCCAGGGCTCAAAGGTTTTTTTTATAATCTAGGGCACATATGTTGATCTAATTAGGGGCACATGGGGTTTTCCTTTCTCTTGCAAACTGATGGAGCCATAGTGAAAAAAGAGGCTTGAATTCTTGCTCATCTCTGGATGAACAGATTTAGAAAAGAGGACAAAAAAAGTTGAAGATTTGGAAATCCATTTCCTCACATCACTCCTAGCTCTCTACTTAGGAAGTGTGACAGTGCCCCAGTCTGAAGCTCACTGCTCTATGCTATAGCTAATTCTGCCTGTTTGTACCAATGAATGTGCTAAACATATTCTTGACTTCATGATTTATTGATGGTCTCTCTTTTGCCCAAATGTTCTCTTTTCCTCCCAATTCTGACAAACTGATAGTTGTCTTTCAGGGCTCTGGTGTGTGTCACCTCTTTGAAGATGTCTGAGCTCCCTCTTCTACTCCATAGTACCTTATACCAAGCACTTCTAACCTTATAAGTTGTTCACATGTCTTTTTTCATTGGACTATTAGTTACATAGCCCTGTCTTTTCATCTCTAACATCTATGCACTATCTGGCACAAAGCGGGTCTCACCTGGTGAATGAGCAAATGCTTTCAGCAGTAGCATATTCTATTTGAGGTTTATATTTATTTTTTCTTAACTTGTGTAAATCTAGGTAAATTTAAAATTCTGGAATCACATTAAAAGTCTTAAATACCAAGGAAATAATTACTCCAATAAAGTGTATTTTGTCAAAATGTTTTGAAAAGATGTTATATGGAATCTGGTATAGCATTATAGAAAAATAGCATGGAGTAATTGATACTTAATAAGATTATGCTTTAGAGGCTACATGTTTTATCCTGCTTCTGTACATTTACCACTTTCATCTTACTTTTGTTTTTAAGGGATGGTATACATGTAGCAGTGAAAATTGTAAAAAATGTAGGTCGATACCGTGAAGCAGCTCGTTCAGAAATCCAAGTATTGGAGCATTTAAATACTACTGATCCCAATAGTGTCTTGTAAGTATGAGTTTGAACTGTGATCCATCATGTTATATGAAATAATCAGACTTCTGTGAACTAAATTATTTTTATTTTGATCTGTTTTAGCCGATGTGTCCAAATGCTGGAATGGTTTGATCATCATGGTCATGTTTGTATTGTATTTGAATTGCTGGGACTTAGTACCTATGATTTCATTAAAGAAAATAGCTTTCTACCATTTCAAATTGACCACATCAGGCAGATGGCATATCAGATCTGCCAGTCAATAAATTGTAAGTATACTTGATAAATCTTTACATATCAGAATTTTAGTTATTGTTATACAAGCCATATATCAAAACAGTCACTAAAAATGCATATAATAAAGATGAAACCCCTCTTGACCCCTAAATCTACTATTAATTCTTCCTTTCCCATAGTACAGATTAAAATTTGGAAGTAAATCTAATAATGTGTTTTTGTTCTCTTGTAGTTTTGCATCATAATAAGTTAACTCATACAGATCTGAAGCCTGAAAATATTTTGTTTGTGAAGTCTGACTATGTAGTCAAATATAATTCTAAAATGGTAAGTTAAAACTTGCTTTAATTTTGGTGATGCTTTAAAATTAATTTAGCTTGTTGATCATTGGATGACGAATTTCATTTTTGAGGCTTATTTTATCCTGATATTAAACCCAAAGACAATAATCTTTCTTTGCCTTTCTCATGGGGCTATGTTGACAATCCATAAAGAAAATTGATGTGCAAGCCTTTTGAATAGTGCTATAAAAAATTTCATATCTTCATTAATCTTCATATTTATCAACTGTCTTTAGAAACGTGATGAACGCACACTGAAAAACACAGATATCAAAGTTGTTGACTTTGGAAGCGCAACGTACGATGATGAACATCATAGTACTTTGGTATCTACACGGCATTACAGAGCTCCAGAGGTCATTTTAGGTTAGTAGACACCAGATTTTCTTATGCCGTAATTGAAGGGCTTTTTGTTCTTTGCAGCTTTCGGAGGGTGTGATTTTCCTAGCAGTGTACAGAAAATGCTGTTTTGCTATTTTCATAAAAAGAGTCTGGAAATTTTATAAATATTTTTTTCTTCACTGGGAAAAATATACTATCTGTAAAGACACTTCAGGTGGTTGTTGGTTATTAACAAGTTAATTCTACAAGAAGATGAAGAATAGGCTCTGTTGACTAAGTACATCACAACAATGTGATTTTGAAGTGATGGTGGGTATCTATTTTTCTCTCATCACCGAAGCATGGTGCTGGTAAAGTACTAATATGGTTAGTAGACATCTAAATAGGGTGGATGGAGGTCAAGAGGAAAAGAAAGAAGGGCTAGTCTAAAAGGACTTCTCTGAAAACCCTTGACATGATAGCTGAAAAAGAAAATTAGTTAAAGTGCAGTTTTAAAACGACAGGAAACTCAGTAAGGGAGCGTGCGTCAAAATTTAAAAGAGACCAGGTTGTGTTAATAGAGCTAGGAAGTCGGGGTGGGTTTGGGGCCTTGGAGACCATGGGAAAAGTTCAGATGAAGGTGCTGTGGGGAGATAGTTAAACAGAAGAAGCTTATTACTTGGCCAAAGTAAGGTACACCTAGGATTGGATATTATACATTTTTATGGAATTAGTTTCCAGTTTTTATCTTATTTTGGTCCAACAGGACTTGTTAGATCAGAATAGGAGTGTGAAAGCAAACTAATGATTTCTATCTACATATAGAGGATTGGTAAAGGAGTAAGGAAGTCGAGAATATTATGCAGTGCTGGCCAGTAGAACTTCCCACAGTGATGGAAATGTTTGATGCCTGCACTATCCAGTATGGTAACCATTAGCCACATGTGGGCTTCTGTGGACTTGCACTGTGGCTAATGTGACTGAGGAATGGAATTTTTAATTTTATTTTAAAAACTTAGATTTAAATGGCCACATGTAGCTAGTAGCTACCATATTGGACAGCACAGGTTTGGAGCTTACCTTTGAAATGGTTAATAGGATTTCTGTTTAGTATGGTGTGAAAGGAGCTGCTGTGCTACAATAATTTACATAGAATATCATGGTTGAGCTCTGGCCAGTGTGGTTCAGTGGTTAGAGTGTTGGCCCTTGGATCCAAGTATCTCGGATTCAATTGCTTAGTCAGTCAAGGGCATGTTACCCAGGTGCAGGTTCAGTCCCGGGCCCCAGTCCGATTGTGCATGAGGCAACCAATCAATGTGTCTCTTTCACATCAATTTCTTTCTCTCTTCTTTTCTTCCCCCTCCCCGCCACCACTCCCTCTTCTACTCTGTTTCAAAAAAAAAAAAAAACGGTGGAAAAATCCTGGGGTGAGGATTGACAAAAAAAATAATATTTCTTACTAAAATGTTTGTTTTTTATTTTAAATAGCTTTAGGTTGGTCTCAGCCTTGTGATGTTTGGAGCATAGGTTGCATTCTTATTGAATATTACCTTGGTTTCACAGTCTTTCAGGTAGGTATTTAATAAATATTTAGTTACATTTTAAAAGCATGTAAAATTTGTTTTTCATATTGAAAAGTTTCCATAGTGTCATTCTTAAGGTTAAAACTTACATATGCAAAATGGTTGTCCTTCTCTAAAACCATAGTTGAGTCAAATACTACTCTTAGTGAATGGTCAGAGTTCATTTTACATGTGATTGGACTTTTTTTAACACTTGTTCACATTGTCTCATCTTTTATTACAGAATTTCTTCATAAATTTATATTAGTGTTACTATGACCAGTTTTAATTCAGTTCTGGTTATAGTGACTTATCTGTATGGCCATAAACAAGTCACTTTTTAATATAAAAGAATTCAGAAGTAATAGGTTGTGTGTTATTCTAAGTATTAAGCATCTTTGACACTCTAGGCTTTATAATGATGAAAAGACAGCATCTATTCAAGGAAATCATGCAAAAGATAGATAAGGGAAAACTTACAGTATAACGTGGTATTTGCTATAATGGGGCGATGTAGAAAGTAGAGTGGGACCCAGGAAAGGTGAACAGTTAAATTTTCTTAGAGAAGGCATCACTAAAGAAATAGGTAGTTTAAGCCAGTGCTAGAAGAGTGAGTAGGAGTTGGTCAGAAAACTAGAGTGTGATGGCCATGCCAGGAGAATAAATAATACCTTAATGAATACAGGTGTAAAGGAACATATTCTCAGGGAAGAGTAAATGGTAGTCAGTCTTGCATAAATGGGAAAATGGTGGCAGTAGACAAGGACTGGTTGATTTATAATGAACTTGTTCTCCATAAAAAGATACTTGTTTATCTTAGAAGTTAGTGGTTTTCAAACATAGACTAGTCCAAAATGAAAATGGTTGTGTTGGGTTGCCATTCTGTCCTTTGGAGACTATCCCTCCTGGGCTTTTTTGGTAGTAATGTGTTTCTTTTATGGAAACCTTACTTAGGTCTGCATTTTTGCCCTCATCATTTTACTTACCATCTTTAATCTAAAGGTCTTGAAAACCAGGTGGTACAAACTGTTGAAGAACTTTAAGTATGGTTGTGATGTGATGTGATCAGGGTGATGTTCTGTTTTGTGGTTGTGGGGTGGGGTTCAGGAGATTCTGGCTCAGAATGTCAAGGTTGATTTGAAGTTATGGCAATACAGGGTGAGAGGCAGCTATGATGAGTTTAGACTCAGGTGGCTATTGCAGAGTGTATGTGTTCACTGCCTCTGCTTGTCTAATCTGCAGAGATCCTGTTAAAAGTACTCTTGAGTTTATAGATAAGTTGGATATTTAGAATCATGGTTATCAGTCAGTTCAAGGAGGTAGTGTGGTTTTATGGTAATAAACTGTAGGGTCAAGGAAAGGTTAAGCAGAATACATGCTTTCTTCATAATGAGTTTGTGATTATAGATCACCAAGGTCCTAAGTAAAGTGCAGATTATTAACATTGGTTTGAGATAAGGTTTATATTTGGATTTCACCCTCTAAAATAGTCTTTGTGGAGCTACTAGTATATTTATTCCTGTCTTGAATTAAGTGCTTAATGTTTTTAAAGCAATACGTGAGGCACAACAGTTGATAGATTTATAAAGGCATTATACACAGCCTCTGTTTTCCAGAACAAGGGTTGGCAAACTATATCCTGCCTGATGCCTGCTTTACAAAATGAAAAAGAATATGCAACAAAGACCTATTGTGACCAGCCACACCTAAAATATTTACTATCTGACTCATTACAGGAAAAATTTGCCAATTTCTGCTCTAGAAACATCCCATTTTAGCTATGGAACATTTTTGTCTGTTCTACTTTAGCAAGAGCTCTGTTACTGTATAGTTTAAGACTACGAGTTTTGACTTGGGTTCTTAGCTCATCTTTCCTTTTACGAGCTCTGTGACTTTGAGCTAGTATCTTCAGCTCTTTGAAATTCATGTTGCTGTGTACCTAGCTCAAAATTGTGAGAATTACTGGGACTGTATTTTTATTGTCTGAGATTAGTGAGTGTTAATATGTTACTATTCGCCCTGGCCAGTTTTGCTCAGCGGTTAGAGCGTCAGCCTGTGGACCAGAGAGTCCTGGGTTCGGTTCCTGCTAAGAGCGTATACCTCGGTTGCAGTTTGTCCCTGGCCCTGGGTGGGTGGCAACCAGTCAATGTGTCTCTCTTGCATCAACGTTTCTCTCTCATCCCCCCCCTTTCTCCCTCCCATTCTGTCTGAAGATAAATCCAAAAATGTCCTCGGGTGAGGATAAAAAAATACATATGTTGCTATTCATTGGATAATAGTGGTTAATTTTGGTTAAGTGACTGCTTAATGAGGACACCATGTTTCTGGTAATCTTCCCAGTCATTCCTCAGTTAAACAATGAAAGATATACAAAAACTGTTGAGTTTTACATTAAACAAATTATGCATCTCTGCAATACAGAGCCTTACTGGTTCATTTCAGAAAGACTATATTATTGGGTTTGCCCCAAATAATAGTTTATTCAGTATTGTTTCATATTTGAAGTAGAATGTAATGTAAATTGTGTAAACTGTCTAATCTAGTCCTTTTATGTCAGTTCTATTTTCTTATGGTTTTCTTTATTGTGTATGTAAAGAAATGAAAAATGTTAGAATTTTTTTCCCTACGTTTTTTCAGACTCATGATAGTAAAGAACACCTGGCAATGATGGAACGAATATTAGGACCCATACCAACACACATGATTCAGAAAACAAGGTATGCTCTAAGATTAAAGCCCTTTGTTGAGTGCACAGTAGCCTGTATTCCAACTACAGAAAACTCAACTTTGTGGTTGTTGCTTGTTCCAAGGATTGCATATTTTGTATTTTTTCATAAAGTTTTTAAAAAGTAATGATAATATTTACCTGTGATCTAGTAAACAAAGTGGTTTTTACAGTGAGGTTAACCTTTGTATAATTGTTTTTCTAAGTTTATATAAAAATAATGCATAGAGTGGTAAAGAGAGCTTGATTTAAAGCCATAGTCAAACACAGCTGCACATCAGAAGTCATCCAGGGAGTTGTTTAAAGATGTCCAGCCCCATTTCAAATCTAGGAAAAACAGAATTTACAGAAATGGATTCAGGGGCTTCTGTTTTTAAAGCTGGCTTTGTTCTCTGTATACTAGATGAAGGAAGATATTCTATAAGCTGTCTGATATATAATTATTGCTAAGTTGTTGTGTGTTTTTTTTTAATGTATACATAGAGATGCTTATACTTTCATCTGTCCTGGTGGAAGCAGGGTAAACATGTGGATCTTTTGTTATTTTCACTAATCCAGACTTCTTTTTCCTGTTAGAAAACGCAAGTATTTTCACCATAACCAGCTAGATTGGGATGAACATAGTTCTGCTGGTAGATATGTTAGGAGACGCTGCAAACCATTAAAGGTAAAAGAAAAAAGTTTTAAAGTTTTAAAAAATGTTTCAAATGCTTTTAAATATCTTTCTAAAATAAATATTTCTACTCCCCACCCCCTAGGAATTCATGCTTTGTCATGATGAAGAGCACGAGAAACTGTTCGACCTGGTTCGAAGAATGTTAGAATATGATCCAATGAAAAGAATTACCTTAGATGAAGCATTGCAACATCCTTTTTTTGACTTATTAAAAAAGAAATGAAATGGAAATCAGTGGTCTTACTGTATACTTTTCTAGAAGAGATTACTTAAGACTGTGTCAGTCAAGTCTAAACATTCTAATATTTTTGTAAACATTAAATTATTTTGTACAGTTAAGTGTAAATACTGTATATTTTGTATCAATAGCATAATGATCTTGTTAAGCAAGTATGGTCTTGATAATAAATGAAATATAAAAGTTAGTTTTCCTTTTTGAGATTAACATTTTTAAAGACCTTTGGAATATATTTTGTGTTCAGTGATAAATGTGATTGTTCTTGTTGACTCTTTAAAGTGATTTTTTTTTTTTTTTTTTTTTTTTAGTGAAAGGAAATCTTGACTATTTTATTCTTAAATTTGGGACTTTAAAAGTATTTTCTGTAATTGTTGAACAAGTAAGTATTAATTATTCTATGTAGGCAGGTATTGGAAATCAGAACCCATAGGAAATGTTTATTCTTGGCATTTTATTGTAAGTATTGTGTTCTATCTCCTCAGGAGATGCCAGTAGTAATAAATAGCAATCATGGAAAGGCATCCATTGTGTTCATCATGACAGGTTTTTAATAAAACCACATACACACTTCCTTTAAGATTAACTAGAAAATCAGCTTGGAAAGTCCTATTTTCCAGTAGCTGTTTAGTGAGTCACAAACAGATATAGGAATTCTGATAACAGGGGTTCTAGTTTTTAATGCCAGTTCTTGTGAGGAGTCTTGAAAATGTCTTATACATCTGTTTTTTTTATCAAATGAAGTAAATACTTAAACCTCAGCCTATGAGAATTAAGGTTATTTAGCCATTTATATTTGTATTAATCTTTACTAGAGAGAAGGAGTGATTTGATAGGGAAACATTTGGGGAAGAAACTTGCAGAAATTTCCAGACTGATTAGTTAACATGACGAACTTCTTATTTCATTATAGGTATTTTTTTCTTACTGTTACCTGTTTTCCCATTAAAACTACATGGTAAATGGTATTTAGTAAAACAAAAACTATTGATACTAATCAGTGTGCCAATTAGAAATATTTTTTGTTGTAGAATTTATAATTGATTATTGAGATACAGGTGGTTTTTTGTTAAAAGTATCCTCATTTTGTAAGTGCATTACACCAAGATTTGAGTTTTATCTGTATATTTTAAACATAAAATGTATGGAATTTTCTTTTATGACAAATATTGAAACCAGGCTGGGTTTCTTACATTATTCACAGGTGGCATTTGCCTATATATAGTAAGGCTATGTTCCTAAAGTTGACTAGGAATTTAAGCTGAAATAAATTTTACCACAGAATCACTGCACAAATTATGTTTAGGATTCTGATACAGTCTACATATAATAAATGTATCTTCTGAATAGTTGCACTGTATCATATGTGATAAGGTTTTTTTTTTGTTTTTTTTTTTAATCCTTACCCAAGGACATTTTCCCATTTTTTTGGTTCAGGTAGAGTGGGAGGGAGAGAGAGGAACAGAGAGAGAGAGAGAAACATCGATGTGAAAGGAACACATCGAGTGGCTGCCACCCGCACGACTGACCAGGGCCGGGGACAAACTGCAACCGAGGTACGTGCCCTTAGCGGAAACCGAACTCATGTCTCTCAGGACCGCAGGTTGACGCTCTAACCGCTGAGCCAAACCGGCCAGGGCTGTGATAAGGTTTTTTAAAGGAGCATTAGATATAAAGAAAGGGTATTTCATGAGCATAGCACTGTTGATTAATAGATGTCTTCCATCCTTTATTTTTCCCTTCATTTTCATTCTACCAGTGCCACTGTACTATCTAAGCTTCCTGTCCTTTCCCGACAAGTGCTTCAAGTTTCAAAATTAATGTTCACTTTCTCCATTAAAAACTCATTTTCTCAGAGTAGCTGATCTTGGGATATTGGGAAGAAAGAAAAATATCCACATTGCTTTTTTAATCCCCACCCAAGTGTGTGTTTATTGGTTTTAGTGCTGGGAGCTTCACTAATGGTTTGAGAGAGAAACATTGATCAGTTGCCTCCTGTACACACCCTGACCAGGGATCAAACCCACAACCTAGGCATGTGCTCTAACTGGGAACCCAACCTGCAACTTTTTGGTGTACCTGACGATGCTTCAACCAACTGACCCACTTGGCCAAGGCTCTACATCATTTCTTACTAAGAAGTTAATGCTAGCCCCCTTTCCCTTCTAAAAATTAATTTACATTCTTCACAAAGGGGATTTGCACCTTCTTATGCCAAATTCATGGAATTTTAGGAATTAATGTGAAAAATTAGGATGGAAAAAATATTTAGTAATTAGGGTGGTCCCCTTGAGATCATTTTATATATATATATGAGTGTCAGCTCTTCCCTTTGAGCTCTCAGGTTCCTACTCAATGACTTTTCTCCTTGTACTTCTGTACTTTCATTTTCTGAAAGTGTCAGGTTTTTACTTGACAGTGCTGGGAGCTTCACTAATGGGAAAAGTTTAGAATGGCCAATGTATAAATGTGGATTACTTCTAGTTAGATATTTTTCTTAATTATTTGATACCTCAGATTTTTACTATTTTTAGAAATTTCATTGAAGTCAAGCCTGTTTGTTTTTTTTTTTAACTTTTTTTTTCTATCCTCACTCGACACATCATTTTTGTTCAGGAGGGAGGGAGAGAGGGAAACAGATGTGAAAGGGACACATCGGGTGGTGGCCATCCGCGTGACCCAACCAGGGCTGGGGACAAACTGCAACCGAGGCCTGTGCCCCTAGCGGGAACCAAACCCAGGTCTCTGGACCGCAGGCTGCCCCTCTAACTGCTGAGCCAAACTGACAGGGCCAAGCCTGTTTTTTTAATTGAGGTATAATTGACATATAACATTAGTTTCAGGTATACAACATAATGACGATATTTGTATACGTATATTGCAAAACGACTGACAATAAGTCTAGTTAATATCCTTCACCATAATTAGTTGAATGTTCTTGTGATGAGAATTTTTAAGATCTCAGCCACTTAAATATACAATACAGTATTAACTGTAGTTGCCATGTTGTACATTACATCTTCATGACTTACAACTGGAATTTTGTATCTTTTTTTTCCTCACCTGAGGACATTTTTCCATTTTTTTGTTCGGATAGAGAAACATCAACGTGAAAGGGACACATCGAGTGGCTGCCACCCGCATGACCCAACCAGGGCCGGGGACAAACTGCAACCGAGGTACATGCCCTTAGCGGGAACAGAGCACAAGTCTTTCTGGACCGCAGGCTGACACTCTAACCACTGAGCCAAACGGCCAGGGCTCCATTTTAGTTCAGATAGAGTGGGAGGGAGGGAGGGAGAGAGAGAGAGAGAGAGAGAGAGAGAGAGAGAGATCAACATGAAAGGGACACATCAAGTGGCTGCCTCCTGTACAAACCCAACCGGGGCCAGGGACAAACTGCAATCAAGGTACGTGCCCTTAGTGTGGACCAAACCTGGGTCTCTGGACCTTGGGCCAACGTTCTAACCGTTGAACCAAACCGGCCTTCGCGGAATTTTGTGTCTTTTAATGGCCTGTTAACCTATTTCACCTTTGTGTTCAGAGTTTGTTTTGTTTAGTTTCTACATATAAGTGAGATCATACAATATTTGTCTCTCTGCCTGACTTATTTTGCTTAGCATAATGCCTTTAAGTTCCACCAATGTTGCGATTTTATTTTATTTTTTATGGCTGAATAATATTTCTTTGTATGTGTGTAACATTTTGTTTATCCATTCATCCTTTGGAGAACACTTGGGTTGTTTCCATGTCTTGTATATTGTAAATAATGCTGCAATGAACATGGGACGGGGGTGCATACGGCTTTTTAAATTAGTATTTTCATTTTCTTCAGATAAACACCCAGAAGAGGAATTGCTGGGTCGTAAGACAGTTTTGTTTAAAAATTTTTAAGGAACCTCCATACTCTTTCCCTAGTGGCTGGCCAGTCACATGCACAAGGGTTCTCTTTTTCTCCATGTCTCACCACTTATTTGTTAGTCTTTTTATGATAGCCATTCTAGCAGGTGTGAGGTGCTATCCCATTGTGGTTTTCATTTCCATGTTCCTGATGATGGGTGATGTTGAGTGATGTATCTGTTGGTTCTTCACACGTCTCCTTTGGAAAAATGTCTATTTAGATCTTGCCATTTTTGGTTTTGTTTTTTTGTTGTTTTTGTTTGTTTTGCTATTGAGTTGTATGAGTTATTTATATATTTTGGATATAAGTTCCTTATCAGATAATAGCTTGCCAGTATTTTCTCCCATTTAGTTGGTTGCCTTCTCATTTTGTTGATTTCCTTTGCTGTGCAGAAGCCTTTTCATTTGATATAATCCTATTTGTTTAGTTTTGCTTGTGCTGCTTCTGATTTTGGTGTCAGATCCAAAATATTGCCAAGACCCATGTTACTTGCCAGTGTTTTCTCTTGGGAGTGTTATTGAAGTTTCAGGTTTTACATTCAAGTCTTTAGTTTCATGAATTAATCAAAATTTTCAGAAGTAGATGGATACAATTGACTGCTATTCAGTTGCCATTATTTTACCTTACAGAATAATTTCCTCATCTGATACTGAATCTATATTTAAAGTTTCATTATTGCATTTTTTTTTAAATGGCGTTTTATAGTTTGTTTGAATCAGAACCCAGTCAAGGTCCACACATTGCTAACATGCCTCAGGTCTCTCCATCACTAAATGTACCCCTTTTTCCCCTTTGCTAATGAAACTGGGTCATTTATCTTTAGAGAACTTCCCATATTCAATCAGAATAGTATCTATTCCTCCATTCCCATTTATTTTGTGAACTGATAGGAAGGGGAGGATGTTTTTGGTTTTTTTTGTTTTGTTTTGTTTTTATCCTCACCCGAGGACATTTTTGTATTTATCTTCAGATAGAGTGGGAGGGAGAAAGGGAGGAAGAGAGAGAGAGAAACATCAACGTGAGAGACACATCGACTGGTTGCCACCCACACGACCCCAACCAGAGCCAGGGACAAACTGAAACCGAGGTACATGCCCTTCGCGGGAACCGAACCCAGGACTCTCTGGTCTGCAGGCCGACGCTCTAACTGCTGAGCCAAACTGGCCAGGGCAGGGAGGATGTTTTTTAATAGAATTCCTCCTAATAAAAAAGGGATGTTATAAATAAAAACTCTAATGGATGCAGACACCAGTCATCAGTGAATGGTAGAGCCACTGTGTGAATATTAATGGAGGTGCCCAGCTGGTGTGGCTCAGTGGTTGAGCTTCGACCCATGCACCAAGAGGTCTCCTGTTCAACTCCTGGTCAGGGCACATGCCCAGGTTGTGGGCCAAATGCCCAGTGGGGGGCATGCAGGAGGCAGCCAATCGAT